GAGGAGGAGGTGTGTCTCGCGGGTAGCCGGTATAACCGGTTTGTAACCGTTAACCGGGTGTTCGGTAACCGGTATCGGTATCCAACTTTTCCCCTGTCGTGAATGGTATACCGGTAACCGGTTAACCGGTTACCGACCGATTACCACCCCTACACATAGTCGCCGGCCTTTAGTTCCTATATTTCGGTTAGTGCGTACTGTCATTCTATTTCATAAATGTTGTACTTTAAACAATTACTTTCATCTCTTGTAAAGTATGCATTTTAATTTCATGCATCAATAATAAACAACACAGGTTTTACAATATTTACATGGTATCAAATCTTATGGAGGGTAAATTGTAAGAAGTGTCTTTGACACAAATAATATTATGTAACGAAAAAGAGGAAAGTTCTGCTTTATAGTAGTAAAAGTGAAAGGGTTTTACCATTACCAAAAAAGTAATTTGGTAGGTGTCGTTGTATTTCGAATGATGAGCTAAATTATTCTGATCGTGAACAAATTGGAATTCAATCTTCAAGTTTTTACCTGGTGTGAAAAAGGGATTATAAGCTAGATACATGGGACCAATGTTATATCACCAGAGAAATGGATAATAAGGAAGTTGTTGGCCTATTTACCAGCGAAGAGATTGCAGCCGCGATGAATATGTTCCTTCTCTCTCCTGTTTGAAACGCTATGTCTTCTCTCTTCAGCTTCCATTTTCAAGCATGAGAGGGGGCTGCTGCCGGCGTCTCTCTGACGACCGGCGGCAGCCCTCCGCCGACCGGCGGCAGCCCTCCGCCCCTTTGGTCTTCCACTTCTTCTTCATTGCATGTTGCTCCTTCTGCTTTCAGCTCTTTTTTGCTTTTTTTCTACTTTCAGCTCTTTTTTGCTTTTTTTAGGCTTTGTTTTCTCCCTTCGTTGGATGTTCTTCCTACCCTTTAATGGGTCGATCTTTTGTTCCTTCGATCTATTTCTTAGATCTGGAGATGATGAACTGATCTAAGATGCGATGGAGGTCGGCTATGATCTGGATCTGGCTTGTCTTCTCCTTTCCTCTCCCTCGTCTACCTCCTTGTCTTTCCTTGCAGATCTTGGTGAGTCGGAGATGCAGCCTTTGGCGTCGGACGCGGAGTGGAGAGCCTGAAGACTGTAGTACTTCCTCTGGTTCTTTCGTCAGCGACAGGTCGGATGATGTTATCCCGTTGGTCTTTCGGCAGGAGGCGGATGCCGGCTTGCTCGGGGTGGGTTGATGAGATGTTCTTTTCCTCTTCCTTCCTTGGGTTTGGTGGAGATCGATCCGATGTGTTTGGCGCTTGCCGCCGGTGGCGACGTTGGTTGGGGGGCATAACAGCGGTGGATGACTCTGCTGCGGCGGCTAGGGTTCCAGAGGGGTAGATGTGTGGCTAGGGTTTGGAAATCTTTGCTTGTTTTGGCCCGGTTCCGGGCCCTATTGGGTTCCTGCCCACTTGTTCTTGGGATTCTTTGTTTGATTTTCAAGTCTGGTCATATTTCTGCTTGTACTTTCCGTATGGGCTTGGCATGATCGTTATCTTAATGAACAACTTTAAAAAAAAAGGGTTATAGGTATAATATGCCCCTCTACTATAACGTTTTATCAAACATGCCCCTCTACTGTTTTTTACATCAAACATGCCCATGTACTTTGTAAAAATGATCAAACATGCCCTTTTGTTAAAATTTTCATCTAAAGGCCGTTAACCAAGGCCGAACTTTAGTTTGGCCGACACACATGACTAAAATATTCCTAATAAATTCACTTTAGAATTTTTTTGGTTATTTTGTATAATCAAATCATTCAAATAATTTCACTTTGAAAAGACCCAGAGAAATAAAACAAGGGACAAAACTGACATTTTCCCTCCCATTTGTCGATGTCAGGTCGTCTAAATCTCAATTCAACCATGATTGACGATTTTTTCAATCGAAATTTTTACAGAAGGGCATGTTTGATAATTTTTTCAAAGTACAGAGGCATATTTGATGTAAAAAATAGTAGAGGGGCATGTTTGATAAAACGTCATAGTAGAGGGGCATATTATACCTATAACCCAAAAAAAAAAAAAAGAAGAGATTGCAGCCAAATAACCTTAGAGGCACGTTGCTAATGCATGATACTCATGTTAAACAGAAGATCAAGAGAAGGATAATCACACAAGCACACTGATTTACGTGGTATCCTCAACGTATATCGTTGAGTCTAATCCACGGAGAGGAGCAACCTCTCAGAGTCAATTGTATTATCCGAGAATCTTTAGGTTACAAGAACGGCTAACATCACCTATTTGTCATAGCCGAAAACCCTATCTCAAGGACCACTAAGTAATTAACTAATACTTCTAACACAAGGATTAATGGCTAATTACAATTGACGCCCTCCCTCAAATTGATGATGCTTACGCAACATCAATTTGTACGCCAGAAACCAATGACGAGAAGTCGCCACTGCCTTGTCAACAGATCTGCAGTATGATCTTTCGTTGTGATATAAGACAATGCAACCTCTCCTTCAGAAACCAGCTGGCGAATATAATGCACATGAACTTCAATATGCTTGGTCCGATCATGAAGGAAAGGATTCATAGCAATCCGAATAACACTAGTATTATCGGCATATAGTCGCATGGGACGTACACAGTCGAATCCAAGCTCCAGAACAAGGCGGCGGAGTCATGCAAGTTCGGAAGTGATTCGACATGGAACGATACTCTGCTTCAGTTGAGGATTTAGACACTCTCTCTTGCTTCTTACAGTGTCAGGAAACAAAAGAAGAGCCAACCTTCACACACCATCCTGACGTAGACCTGCGGGTGTCAAGACAACCTGCATAATTCGCATCATCATATGCCTCAATCACAGGATCACCGGTCGAAGGAAAGAACAAACCAACGTCAGCTATCCCACGTAAATAGCGAATAAGCTGAGTGACCGCTACCATGTGAGTAGTCCGAGGAGTTATTGGGACCAACTGGTTTATGACATGGTATCAGAGCTGGTTTGGCCAAGTGGTCGTGTGTTCGAATCTCCACGACCCCCAATATTAACAGTTGATTAAAGCACATGGTATGGTGGACCTGTGCAAACTTCAAGCCCATGGGTTGACTTTCGTTTGAGGGGGCGTGTTAGAGAATGGTATAAGATCCATCATAACCTTCTCCAAACAACTCGAGTTATTGGGACCAACTGGTTTATGACATGCTTTGGTTCCTTCTTGCTATGTTGCTTGTGTCTTAGGTTCAGTATCCAATGCTTACTGCTCCATCATCTTGTGGTTGTCTTTCCTGTTGGTTTGAACCAGTACTTTCAATTTCAAACTTTTGTCTCAGCTGCCTCCAAATATCCCCATCCGCTTTCCTTGCTCCTAAAGAAAGCCAGTTGCGAGGGGCTGGTGGGGCTGGCCTGAGGTCAAAACCAAAGGGATCTATCTCCAATTGTGTTGGCTGAGGGCACTTGAGTTTCACATGGTCAATCCGCCCACAAGAATGACAGAAGAGTGGTAGTTTTTCGTATTTTACTTGATATTCCGCGAGTCTTCCCCCGATATTCAGCTTAACTTTCTTCTTGAGTGGGTTGTTTATTGACATATGCACCCTTATTCTCATGTAGTCTTCCCACATCTTTTCAGCACTGTCATAAAAAAACACTAGCTCTCCAAAACGTTTAGCGAGCTTCTCCACCATTGATTGGGTTCTCAGTTCTGCTGGAAAACTTCTAAGTTGTATCCAAATATTCTAAGTTGTATCCAAATATCTATTTCATGCAGATCAACTGGTGTTGGCTTTTGTATCATCCAGCTAGTCTTGAAGACCATGATGCTACTCTCATAGTGCCACGGTCCTATTTCATATACAAACTCGAATGGGAGAAATAGAGTCATAGAGAGCGAGTCTATTGAATAGTTGGAATTTTTTAATTAATTTTTTATTTCAAATAATTGTAAAATTAAAGTATGGAATAATTTATTTTATTGATTTCTCACGCTAACGTGGCGTTAACGATAAAAATTGTTGACGACCAATCACGGTCTGTTTCAAATTTGTACAATTATTTTAAAATTTTGGATAATTATATGAATTTATAAAGTTTTAGTCAAATTAGCTTATGTAATGGTCAAGTCGAACAAAGTATTAACCCTATTTTTTTATTAATTTCTCAAACTAACGACATGTTGACTAATGATCTCAATTGTTGATTGCTCAAATTGACAATGTTCAACCATGGATCGGGTCATATCGATCCAATTATTTTGAAAATCGGAACTCGATAAAATTTCTAGAAAATTTGAACAAAAATAGACTATTGATGTAAAACTCATATTAACACTTGAAATGACTATATTAATTACAAAATTCTTATAAATTTATTCTCCCTGCAAAAAAAGGTTTCTTACTCTTGGCTGTCATTATGAAATTGATATTGTAATTCTAGAACCCAAACTATCTTGGCAAAGTTATTCTATTACACCATGTTTCCATCATCACCAATGGCTCTAGAAAAAATCTCTCAAATTTACCATCTTCATCTTTTTCCCCATCGAAATTGATGAAAATCGTTGACGGTCAATCATGATCCGGTTCAAATTTGTACAATTATTTTGAAATTTTGGATAATGATATGAATTAATAAAGTTTTAGTCAAATTAGCTTATGTAAATTTGAAGCCAAACTAAAGTTTTAACCCTATTTTTTATTAATTTCTCAAACTAACGACATGTTGACTAACGGTGACAATTGTTTATTGCCCAAATTGGCAATGTTCAACCACGGATCGAGCCATATTGATCCAATTTTTTAAAATTTCGATCTCGATAAAATTTCTACAAAATATTCTAATAAATGTATTCTCCCTTCAAAAAAAAGTTTCCAACTCTTGGCTGCCATTGGGAACCATCGAAAGTCATGTTTGAGAAGAAATCTCAGTTTTCGCTTGCAATATGCTGGCTTCCTAACTTTTTTTCTGCGTAACGGAATTATTCCAGTAATTCATGGAATATCTTCATCAAGTATAGCCTTCTTCTAGCATATGCATGAAAGAAACAGTTGCAAGGTACACGGTGGCAAGTTAACAAATCAGGGAGGGAAAGTTGAACAGAGCAAACCATGTTTAACAAGGTGTTTAACAAGTTATGAACATGTTCGATCACCTAAAGAAACGCTTAAAGAGACTTCAATGCGGCAAACATCGAAACAAGCTAGCTAGGGTGGTCCAACTACGCCTCAACCATACACCACTACCGTTTACCACATGATCCAAATCATCCCCACCTTCTTCTTCTTCATCAGTATCCAAAGCACCCCAATATTCTACAGCATCATCCCCATCTTCTACTTCATCAGCTTCTTCATCATCAGACAGATCACCACCATCATACACAGCTAAACCATCAAACACGTGCGGGATCCCCTCAAAAAGGCCCGGTGGGCAGAGTAAGGCATGCTCATCACCCTTACGGTCGGCTGTGACGGGATTGGCATACAACACGACATCTGACGCAGCATCAGGGTCAGAAGGGATCTTCCTGGGCAGCAGTCCTTGGGCCTCGAGCTTGTCGAGGTCAAAAGGAAGCTCGATTTCGATTCCAAGAGTCTCGAGATGATGCAACAGTTCATCGAGAGTGAAAGGAAGATTGGGTCGAAGTCCAAAGGCACTGGGTTCCCACGCATGTGGATCCCACAGCTCGTCATCGGAATCAAAAGGAGGGTCTGGTTGAAATGTAGGAGCCTCAAAATGAGAATTAGCCACTAGCGTCTCCTGCGCAAGAGGAAATACAATAGATCAGCAAGAAATTCCACATGACAAGCATGATTTGATGAGGTAAAATGGCGACAAACAGATAACATAAGAGTGATTCCTCGTATATCCTTACCATGTTTGCTACTCTTCAAATAACGGTCCAGCCAAAACAGAGTTCCTCCAAACAAAGCTGCTGCCAAACATGTATCAAAGACAGTTATCACAAAGCCAATTACATATATTCCTGCGAACAAAGGATATCAACAACTAGCGACAAGGAGAATTTACATATCCAATCATTTACAACGAAAGAATTGATCAACCACCATAGAAGAACTAACAACAAGCAAGCACAAAGCTAATAAACAAGAGGGAGCCTCTGGAATCTGGATTCATCTCCAGGTGGCCTCCCATCTACCACAAATATATTTTCACCATAACAGATGTCAGATGTGCAACGATTTCCCTGTTGCCCGATTGTTTCTAACCGCTACTTGCATAAATAACAATTTCCAAGCAACGAAACCAAGAAAAACACAGTTGAACTCCTAGGGTTTCAAATATAACCTGCTGATCTGCAATCATCAAGCGTAAACAGCACCATAACGAAATTCAAACCCTACACTAGCGATTTAGTGTTTAGCAAGCACACAAGGATTACATAGCAGTTTGCATCGAATCTTCCATGGAAGATTCGCCGAGTAGACATATACAGGTAAGCAAAATTTGAAGACAAATAACGAAAAAAGAGTGTAGGGAAGGGAGAAAAGCAAATACTAAGAGGACAATACAAACCTAGCCGAAGAGAATCGGAGAGCGGCCAGGTACGATCAACTTTAGGAGTGCCCGGCGAGAGTTTCTTCGATTTTCGGCTTGTAAATTGTGTCCTCGAGAAAGAGGCGGATTCTCCTATAAATAGGGATTTCGGGCAGGTGCTAGTCAACTTGGTCCGTTTCCGTAAAGGGTACAGCTGAACAGAGTTAGGGATGACAATTTTGATCTGGCCCGATTTATCCGACCTGTTCGACATGTTTTGGACGGGTCAAACAATCCTGCCTGGGGCGGGCATGGATATCTCTCATCGACCCGACTTGCCCTGACCCGCCCCATTCTCGACCCGTTCTTGCCTAAATTACATATAATTTTAGTCAAATTACTTAAGATTTTCCTCTTATTATATTATATTTTAGCTATAATAAAGTTGTAAATAAGTGAAAACCTCAATTTCTTCAATAATTTAACTACATTTTATCATATTATGGTTTTTTTCTTGGTCTTTCAATGAAAAGAACGAATATTTCTAATATTTTTCACATAAATTACATACCCATTGGGTCGACCTGCCCCGACCCGCGCCCCATGATAAATTACCAGACCTGAACCTGACCTGCCATGTGGCGAGTATGGGTATCGAGATACCTGCCTCGGACCTGCCCATTGTCATTCATAGACAGAGCGCATACAAGTAATATTATGTAGTATGTCATGGCCAATACTATGGTGTTGCAGTAAAAGGCTAAATTTGATTCGTCCTCGTGGAATTAAGGTGGCTTGAGCTGGCTTAATATGTTAAACTATCAACTCAAACCCATTGATCGTGGGTCAAACCCATAGGAAAAAGAGTCTCTCAATTGTGATTTGTGGTTTTATTTTACTTTTGCATAATTAATTCTGGGTTTGGAAAGCTGGACCAAGCCCATACAAATATATTATGTCATGGCCAATACTATAGTGTTGCAGTAAAAAGTGCGAAAATGGTGATGCTAATTTTGATTGGTCCACGTAGAACTTAGGTGGCGTGAGCTGGCTTAATATGTTAAACTCTCAACCCAAACCCGTTAATTGTGAGCCAAACTCATATTCGCCCAAACAGACCGAAAAAGAGTCTGCACATTGTGATCGTGGGCCAAACCCATATCCCCCCACCCATGGAAGAAGGAAATGGCTTGGACAAGCTTAACCATTTCTATGGCGAGCTTCATTAGAAGCTCCTTCCAATTTGGCCATCTAATAAGCCTGAGAAAGAGTCTGAGGTTGCAGCATTGTAACCACGAAATAACAATCCATCTCAACATGTTTAGTTCGTTCATGGAACACTGGATTGGCAGCAATATGAAGTGCCGCCTGGTTATCACAAAAGAGGAGAGTAGGCCCTGCTTGCGGAACATCCAACTCGTTAAGAAGAAAACGCAGCCAAAGTACCTCACTAACAGTGCTCGCCATAGCTCTGTATTCTGCTTTAGCAGATGACCGAGAGACCACACTCTGCTTCTTCATCCGCCAGGAAACCGGTGCACCGCCAAGCTGTATATAATAACCTGGTGGTGGACCGCCTGGTCTGCTGACATCCTGCCCAATCAGCGTCGCAGTAAGCTGTGAGCGTCAGATCGCTATTAGCCGGGAAGAATAATCCTTGCCCAGGCGCTGTCTTCAAGTATCGTAGAACTCGGGTCGCTGCTGCAACATGCTCAGGACTGGGACGGTGAACAAACTGCGATAATATATTTACCGCATAAGAGATGTCTGGCCTGGTCACAGTCAAGTACAACAGTCGTCCCACTAGGCGACGATAGCTGCTTGGATCCTCGTCAGCTTGATCAATAGGTCGAGTGAGAGTATGATTTTGCTCAATCGGGAAACGACTAGGTCTCGTCCCTGTCATGCCCGCATCAGCCAATATGTCTAAAGTGTACTTTCTTTGGCTAAGGATCACTCCTGCATCTGATCGTGCAACCTCAATGCCGAGAAAGTACTTAAGGTTCCCCAAATCCTTGATGCTAAACTTCTGATCGAGAAAACTTTTGACGCGAGCTATGAACTGGGAATCATTTCCCGTCAAGATCACATCATCAACGTAGATGAGAGCTGCTACGAAGGTCTTCCCTTGGCGGTAGAGAAGGAGAGAGTGGTCTGCCCGTGAGGGTTGAAAACCAAGCTCACCTAATGCCAACGTGAACTTCTGGTACCAATTCCTTGATGCCTGTTTTAATCCATACAAGGATTTTCTCAGTCTGCATACACGAGTATCTCCATCCTTGGCAAAACCTTGAGGGACTTTCATGTATACTTCCTCTTCAAGGTCACCGTGGAGGAACGCATTGTTCACATCCAACTGGTGCAGGCCCCATCCCTTGCTGACTGCCACTGCTATTAAAACGCGAACCGTGACTACCTTTGCCACAGGTGCGAAGGTGTCGTGAAAATCCACACCTTCTAGTTGCGTGAAGCCCTTTGCGACCAGCCTCGCTTTGAAACGCTCGATGGATCCATCCGGGTTATACTTCACCTTGAAGACCCATTTACAATCAATGGCCTTCTTCCCAGGAGGTAGATACTCTAAAGTCCAAGTACCATTTTTCTCAAGAGCTGTAACTTCAATCTGCATGGCTGCTCTCCATCGGGGATCAAGAACGGCCTGTGCAAATGATCTCGGCTCCACTATCTTCGACAAAGCCGCAAGATAAGCGCGGTGACTAGACGAAAAGCGATGGTAGCTCACATGATGAGCAAGCGGATACATAGACTCCGTCGAGTGGCACGAATGAGCTGTCCCCTGCGAGGCTTGTTGTGGAAGTTGAGTGTCATATATGGCAAGCAAGTCTGGGGGAGGTCGGCGGTTCCGTGTCCCTCGTCTCAGAGTGGGAACAGCGCCAGGATCAAGTTGCCCACCAGCTACCTGTGCATTCGGATCAACAGTTGGTGAAGTGGATCCTACGCCTTGGTCTTCATCTAAGGTATCATTGGCTTGCTTTTGGTTTTCGTCACCAGGTTGCAGATCATTGTCAAAGTCATCGTGATCTGCATGCATGGGCACAATATTAGTATGTCTTTGCCCATTATGAAAATCAAGGTCAGTGGCTTCTCCACCATGATCACGAAAAGGGTATGTCCCCTCAATAAAATGCACATCACGTGACGAATATATGCGTCGTGATTGCAAATCGAACACTCGGTATCCCTTCTGAGACGCGGGATATCCCATGAAAACACAAGGTCTCCCCCTCTCGGCGAACTTGTCGATCCCATGAGTAGTATCTTTCGCATAAACCAAACAACCAAATGAGCGGAGATGATTATATGAAGGCGGCTTCCCCAACAAAACTTCGTAAGGTGTCCTGTTTTTAAGAACAGAAGAAGGAAGCCTGTTGATGAGGTACGTTGCAGTCAGTACACATTCACCCCAAAACCGCACTGGAAGTCCCGAATGAAAACGAAGAGCCCGAGCAGTCTCCAGTAAATGCCGATGCTTACGCTCAGCAACTCCGTTCTGTTGAGGCGTGTTGACACACGATGTTCGCAATAGAATCCCATTTGCCTCGTAATAACCACGCAAGGAATGCGTCCCAAACTCCAACCCATTATCAGTCTGTATCCTGCGAACCTGAGCTCCATACTGAGTTCGAACCATTTCACAGAAGAGAAGAATATACCGCTCAACCTCAGATTTAAACTTAAGAAGATACACCCAAGTGGCACGACTATAATCATCAACCGCTGTCATGAAATATCGTGAGCCATCAAAAGAAGGGGTCCGATAACCACCCCAGATATCCATGTGAACAATGTCAAAACAAGCCGTTGTTTTGATAGAATGAGAAATGAAAGGTGCTCTAGTCTGTTTAGCGCGCAAACAAGAATCACAATGATGAGTGTCTTGGCAAAAATCAGATAAAGCAATAATGTTCTTCAAATGAGAAAGCTTCGCAGGAGAGGGATGCCCAAGCCGACTCGTGCCAGAGCTTGGAAACTCAGCTTCCCTACTGCAGCAGAACTCGGACTGGCGACTTCTCATCATGTGGCGGCCCTCTCATCCCAGTTTGCTGAAAATAGTAGAGCCCATCACGAAGGTGACCCAGTCCAATCATAGTCTTGGAACGTAAGTCCTGAATAACGCAGAGATTTTGCCAAGAAAAGCAAGCAACATCATGATCTTTGGTGAGACGACTAACAGACAGCAAATTACACTTGAATGTGGGAACATGAAGCACACGATCAAGTCTAATCCGTTCATATCAGGGTAACGGTCCCAATCCTGTGACAGGTATACTATCACCATTAGGTATCCGAACGGCAGAATGGTGTCCCTCTGGTTTAGTCTCATCTAACCACTTAGAGTCCCGAACGATATGTTCGTTGCACCCGGAGTCAATTAACCATTCATAGAGTTCAGAAGAATTACCAGCCATGTGAGCAGTCGATTCAGTTGCGGCAGATGACGGAGAGGAAAGAAACTCTTTCAGCTTGTCAAACTGTGCTGCGGAAAGGCCCGGAATTGGGCTCTCATCACTTTCAACATTGGCTGCCCGCACTTGTTTGGTATCTCTGTCTCCTTTAGGGCGTCGTGGCCCAGCTCCACGTTCTCCAGAACGTCCTTTATTTGTGTCTTAAGGGTAACCAATGAGTTTGAAGGCAACTCTCTTGTATGCCCCAACTTGTTACAGTGAGAGCATCGAGGCTTGTCCTCACTCAATGTCTTTGTCCCCACGAGTGATGAACGCCGCGGCCTCAACCGGTGGCCTACGGCCGGCTGTGATCAGTCGCTGTTGCTCTTCGGCAGCGACCAGCTGGTAAGCTTCCGCAAGCGACGGTGTGGGCTTCATGCTTAAGATCTGGGACCGGATAACACTGAAAGCATCGTCAAGCCCAAGTAGAAAATCGAAGAGACGCTCTGCCTCCTCCTTCTCTCTCGTCTGACGACTGATGTCGCACGTACAAGTACCACACGTGCATCGGGGATTGAGAGAAACCGAGCTTAGTTCATCCCACAATGTCTTCAAGTGCGTGTAGAATGCCGAGACCGACTGTTTCCCTTGTCGGTGCGAACTGATGGCTCCTCGCAGCTCATATGCCCGACTTGCTGATCCCTTTCCA